ATTTCAGTAACAGTCATGCCATTAACGTCAAGATTTATCGTGCCACCAAATCATCATAGTCTCGATCCAGCTGAAGTGTACCTAATATATTATTATACGTCCAAAATGATATCTAATTAACAATAGCTATGCACCTAATTTCATGGGTTCCAACTTTCTTGGAAACAATTCCGGTTAAGGATTTCGGTGAATTACTTAGACGTTAGTGACACCGATTTGGTAACTTTGGTGTGGGGCCAAAGTTGTGGGTCAATAAGCCACCTCAAATTTAGAATGTGATTTTTGACGTCACTCCGACAACTTGCTGAATATAATATGACATCTCCGCATCACTGCAGGATTACAAGAGTTTAAAAGCGATTCTACATATTAATCTTTTTCAAAATAAAATTACCTCAAATAAAATATTATTGACAGAACATGACTTTATAAGTTTAAAATTACCTATAGATGAAATGAATAAAAAATACTGTTGTTTTTCTTCCGGTCCTAAATATTCCAATCAGTGTAGTGAAGTACCTAATGACATTGCAATGCATAACTAATTCGGATAGAAACTTTAAAACTTAAATCCACCATTTGATCAGAAGCTTAACAACCGTCGACCAGTAATTATTGGTCAACTAATGTATGGCCATTGCCCTTTGGAATAGTATATATTTTGATGAATCAATATCGCACCAAAGTCGACACCCGTCTTATATAATATTGTTGTTAATAACTAACGATTTTATACAAAAATATATTTTTATTTAATAGTTGAGAAATAACTATTATTATATAATATATTATAAACTTTGGGGATGTAAAATGAAACGTTCATAAAATATGGAAACCATAAGATAATATTGCAAAGACTTCAGAATTATTTTGATTCGTTAAAGTGAGATTGATTACGATTCGTAAAAATGTCAAACTGTGCTTACATATAACTTATAAGTAGTATGAAACATAATAGGTATATTATATAAAATATAGTGTGTGTGTGTGTTAATATGCAATTTAATTATTCTGAACAATATTAATGTAGAAACGTTGTATTTTTTTTTAATGTATTACTTTGTTTTCGACGATATAAAACGTATTTATTAACACTTTCAAACAATGCGTTGTCACAATAACTTTAATTGTGAAGCCTTCCTTTTTATAGGTATTGTGTATTGTGTAATACCTACACAGATTTTCCTTGATTATAAAGTTGTTCGTACACAATACATACACAGTATACATTCAATTAAATTGCTGAATACATTTGAAAAAATCTAAATTTAAAAAAAAAACCATCGAAACCTTTTTATTTAAATTATGGACATTGAATGTAATTATTTATTACTCACAGTATTGAGTTTATGAAACATTTGGACGAATGAGTTTAATTTGCATTTTTTAAGCAAATGTATAATGGTATACATTTTGTGTGTGAACTGAGTACCTAATCTCGTTTAAAACGTTAACATTTCGCTTAAGAACGGAAAACTTTACGACTATTGAGACTGAACGAAAATTGAAAAAAAAAAAGGCCAGGAAAGGTATATGATTACATAACGAGATATCACATCGGAGTCGGCATTTGTGGCGGGCTCGCGGCCAACAAAATATAAACGCTGACAATACGATTTTTTGCGGTCGTTAGAAAGATTTTTTTTATCATATAATATTCAAAGCAGCGACATGTTTAAACGAATAAATTAAGTTTTGTCGTTTTAATTTTTTTTTCTGACCGCAGGATCGGAAGAAGTTTTTTGCTCGATGTACATCCGTTTTTCTCTTTGTTACTATTACTCGTTCACTAAAAATCTTAAACAATTTATTGAAATATTTTATTCTATCGACCATCGAAAAAAAAAAAATAAAATAAAATAATGTTCTGATTCTCAAACAAAACGCAGATTGCAATATTTAAGGTGGTACGTATTTTAAACAATTCGTGAATGGTGTATTGACACAATAAAAACTTTACTATAAGTTATAATGCCCGCGCATAAAAGTTTTTTTTTTGTTAAGAGGATGGGCAAACATAGCAAATGTTCGTTCTTCAAAACCAATTTTATCTGTGGTACAAACGATTGTATTTTACTTAATACCAGGCTGAGTTAATTTACTAACAAACTTTTAGGTAAGAATTTGCGTTTGTTCGGTGGTTTTTATGCCATAATTTTTTTTAAACGACTATTATGATGTGTAAAATATTACAATTTAAAAATTTTCACAACTATCATAAGCATTGAAATACCTTTAAAAAACAACGTACATATACAGTGTTTTTATACTTATATTCACTTAAAGTTTGATAATAGCTAGGTAAATATTATAAAAGTAAACAGAACAAAATTAGTTTTGTTTGACAATTATTCACCATGTCGTACGAAGACAACAAATTTTGGGGGTGTGACGTCATCTTAATTATTAATTTTAGTTTTAAAAATGATACACTGTCGTATATACGCAATAACTGCCACATATTGGAAGACAACATTTAAGCGGCGAAAACGAATAAACTATTTTCTTTTAAACTAAATGGTATCAAATAATAAAACGAAGGAAATCATATTTTTAATCCAATACGAGTGGTTATCTATACGGTGAAAAATCTAGTGACCTCAATGAGTATTTCATAGTTCGGGGATCACAGCAGTGGAATCGTCTCAAAGTTCACAAAGTAGCTAATGCGTACCTATTTAATGACGAACCTCTCGCCCCCAATCCATCAAACCGGAGAACTTCTCGCAGAAAGACCTACATATCATATAATGTATAGGTATAGGTACTATGAAATAAAACGGAAAGTTTTGTGCTGGCGGGAGACAGACCTGCGAGAAGATAAATGAAACCTTTAGTTCCGATTGGTAACACGTGTGCGGTAAGTGATGACACGTTGAAGAGTTACCGAGATAATGTATTATATCTATTACGTTGTCACTACATTGATATATATATATATATATACACGTTGTGGTGTGTTTAAGGTATTTTATCTGCAGATGGCTGCTGCAGTTTTCCGCTGTAATGTCTACTGCCCAAACATTTATCGTCGGAATATTAAGCTCTCGTCTAATTTTATTTTGTTTACTTGGTTTTTGAAAAAATGTCATTAAGTTGAAAAAGTTACGGCTGCGACTGTTTTCTGATCATAAAAGATGATAATATTATGATGTACACAAAAAACTACATTTCTTTCATGAATATGATATTAATTTTGTTCTTTTCGAAATATCAATTTGTATTATGAATATTGGAAAACAATTAATTAATACAAAATAAAGATACAATATCCTAGACAGCAATTTTTGTTTAATAATATTATTATAACATTATAATTACGAATAATATTAGTATAACGTTATTATAATACTATTATAATTAGAGTAAGGATTTTGAAGGCATTTGCCTTTTTTTTCTATTGCCTTAAAACGAAGCTATATATCAACTTCAAATTCGATTTATACTACTATAATACTACTATGCATGAAATTTTATGTTGCTTTTTTGGGCATTTTTGGTAAATTTTTTCAAAATGTGTTCTAAATAATCGTGTTTGAAATATTGATTTTTATTTTTATGTTCAATAATGTGATTTCCAAGGTAAGGGCTGTAATCGATTTTATCTCGTTATGTTTGATTTATGGATATATATTTTATCGATGTAACTTAGATGCGTACCTATATAGTAGATTATTTTATCTTAAAACGATAATAAACACAAAAATATGCTCTTGCTCTGGAAATGATCTACCTACTCAGAATTACAGTTTAGTTTTCGTTGTAACACCGTATAGTTCGTTATTTTTATTTCTTACCGATTGTCACTCACAAAATGCCGAAAATTATTAATTGTAGTGCTTGTCTTCGCAATTTTGTACAAGAATTTGGTGAAGACATTTTACTTGTGACAATGCTGTACTTTTTTTCAAAGTATGTGCTGTTAAAGTTTCTCTTTTTTTGTGTTAAATATTTTTTTAAAAACCTATTTTTATTACTTTTTTTAAATTTTTTTTGGAAGAATTAGACAGCTTTATTGCTTTTTTTAGTTTTTTATTGCTTTAAAATCCGTACTCTAATTATAATATTATCATTACAAAATGCTGTCTGTTATATTGTACGTATATGTAATGTATGTATATTATATAAGTTTGGAAGCAAGCGTTTTTAATTTTGTGAATTATTTTAAATTATTTATATGCCCATATATTATTGTAGGAACTATTTTTTTCACATTTGAATTACCGATAACATCGATATATGGGGTTGAAAAGTAAGAGAGTGAGAGAGAGAGAGAAAGAGAAATAACATACTTGATAGAAATAGATTTCTACAAAGATAGCAAGAAAGTAAATAGTCAAAGTAGACGAAGTGTAGTCAATCATTAAATGATAAACCACTCTGATTAACACCACCAGATGTAACCTTTTATCGATATAATATTTACTTAATAATATAATGTAAAAAGGAATTCCTGGATGTAGGATGTATATCAAACAAGACCTACTCGAGATAAGATATCTAAGCATTGAGTTAGCACACTTACAGACCATCAAGGTTGTCATCTGGTTGTTATTCTAGACGATAAGATTTTTTGTCACATTACACGAGCATTGGCGCAACTAGGAAGTAGAAAAAGGGTCTTTAACTCCCCAAGTTCTAATTTAGCACCCTTTGTTTTTTTTTGTCTAATTATCATTATTATAGTGAAATACCATAAATGTTATGTTTTTAAAATATGAAATATTATAACACCTCACGTTTCAGAGGTCTAGTTGCTCCTATATGTACACGAGGTAAAGTCAGGCAGACCTATTACATTACAAGTAATAAAAATATATTTGCAAAGATATTGTTAAACCTTTACCCCACCGTACCCCGTTGTAAGTCTCATCAGCACACCGCTGTTTTTCATATTTTTGGTTTGTTATAAAATCTAAATAAAAACAACATCAAAGCTGAATTTATTTCCCTTGAGCACTTAACAAAATTAAAATATACAATTTCTTTTCATCCAACAGACCAATCCGGATGGCAACATAACTACGAGTGTGCTGACATTTACTCCAGCGATCAAAGATTCGGACAACACGTTGAGCTGCCGAGCAGAGAGTGGTAAACCAGACAACGTCAATAACAGACACAGTGGCAAACCTGACGGTCGCCAATATCAATCAGTCGACGTTGATTCTTCCGATGGATGGAAAATAAACATATTTCGTGAGTATTATATTGATATTTTGTTAATTTATATACATTTCGTTTTACTAATTTATCACAATTAATATAAATTGTGATTGCATTGATTATAAGTCTTAGTAATTTCGGAATGAATAATATAGGTACCGGTATACCATTGATGGTGTTCCGATAGTTTTGCTCTCACACGAGACCATGCCGTCTGAACTTAAGTGTTGCATTATTTCTTTCTAATTATCTCAATTGTCTCAAACATATTGTAGCAATTATGTTTTATTATATCAGCTACTAATTTTTATTGGTTTGTTTTATACCCATAAAGACCTTTTTGAAACGATAGGTACCTATTGTAAATGTTTATTAAATAGTCATAATTTCGGTTATTAATTATTGCTATGATATCTACCGTTTAAATTTGATTGATGAAATTCTCCTATAAAAAGGTTACTCCGTCTGATAATATTATCATTATAGTATTGAAATGATTAAGCGGTAACTTATTGTAATATTAGGTTGGTTAGCAATCGAGTTGTTTATTTAAAACATAAAATGCACCTAAAATAGAAATTGTAGTTATGAGAGTCAACCAAGATCTGTATATTACAATAATCAACGTAATATTTAAATTACCCCTTAAGTGCCGTGTAACGAATTCAATTCAGTACATTTCCACCTCGAGGCAATACATTTATTATTATTATTATTACATTTATTCGATCAAAGTGAAATTATTATTGTACGTTCGGAATAATAGTAATATAAATTTATTCAACTGGTTTCCCGTTTGAATGTTGAAGTCGATAACAAATTTTAAATGTAATTATAATATACTATTACATCAGTGGTCTGTGAATTACTTCTTTACTTTTCATTTAACGTTGGCTACCAGAAGTTCCATACATCACATCGATCATAAAAATGTTCATGTACCACCCTTTACTTGGAAAAAGCAAAATACTAAAATGTTATCGTTGGTAATGAAACAAATATAAGTAAAAAAAAAAAACTTTTTTCTTATCTTGTACTGAGAAAATAAAAGCAAGACAAGTAATTAGTTATAGTTATAATTAGGCTTTTTATTTTCATCATAAGAGTGTTAACATTTTTATAGTCATTTTTTAAGGTAAATTGTTTATACTTTTAAAAGAACACATTAATAAGATTATGTACGATTGTATCTCTACGTTAAATATTTCTTCCAGTGAAAACATAATTATATAAATACATTATAAGTATAAAAACAAATTAATATATATTTTAATTGTTAATAACCTCAAACCTTGTACCAATATATATGATATTATGTTAGTTTGTAAAATAGCTGAAATATATTTTGTTGATGTTATTTCCATGATTATCAGTATATTAATTGCAAGAATCAGCGACTTTAGACGAATGAATCATTTGATTCAGGGTTGTATTCACTACCAGAATCATCATAATCAGTGTTATCCAAAAACAAGAGAATACCATTCGAACCCATTTCGGAATAATTTTAACAAAATTAACCCAGAATTAACACAGCATAAATTATAATAACTAATATAATATTTGGACCCAAGATAAATGAATGTTCTCAATATTTCCACAGTGCTTATAGTTCTATGTTATCATGTTACATTAATATTGTTATTTAATGCCAATTAAATTATTTGTGCATCTCAAAAATGAGATATTTGTTAAATATATGTAATTTTACAAAAAAAAAAAATATTACACCTGTGAGTTTTTTCTACAAAGTTTGATATCAAAGAAAAACAAACTCGGTACAGTGAGAGTCACATATAAACCTCGTGGTATAAGATGAAATATTTTTTTTAAATACAACTGGTAGCCAACGTGGTGTAAAAAAGGTGTATTTTAATAATGATTGACTTTTAAAGAAGTAAAAATGGATAAACAAAAGCAATACGCAGCGTTGACGCACTCATAATATAATTTATTGCTCAAAGTGTATTTCATTTGTATCATTGTTTTTTTTTTTTGTTGTTGTTGTTGTTGTTCCTTTGATGTATCCATGAAAGTTTATTGGAAATAGTGTTAAAAGCTTTCATAAACTATGACAAAAGAAAAAAACTTTTAATTGAATTATTTTTGTACTGTTACTCGATAAATTCACTAGAACACACCAAACATTTATACAATCGAATATAAATTTTAATTTTTAACTTCAAATGGTTTTTCCATCAAGTATTCTTACATGTACAAGAGTAATACAAAAGTATACAGTTTATTCTTCATGGTTATAGTGCGGACAGAAACATATATATAATATATTGGTTTATCACAGAAATTCACCAGTACCATTAATATTGGAAAGATATAGGATGCTGAGATGACTTTTATGTAGCAAGGGACTTAAAATTAGAAAGTTGCTGTAAGAAAAGTAATATATTAAGCAGTTTGAACAATTATATTTAAAACGTATTTTACTAAAATCAGTGTGTTTCATTTGTGTTATTAGTACCTATACATAACCATAGACACATAGGTACTCATACTCTAATGTACATTTATCGGTAAAAAAAAGTCAAATCATTCAAAATTATTAAAGGGTTTTCACTGAATATTTTTCAATAAGTAAATATCACAATTCACAAGCAAGTATTTACTATTAATAATATCATTAATATGGCATTTATATTGTAATTGCAATATCTATGATTAAAATTTTTATTTAAACATTGATAGATGATGATCGATATTACCATCACTATCGTTTTTTTTTTCATATTTTTTAAATTTTTAAATTTAATATAAATTTAATGATGTAGAGTGCAATGTTCTACAAAAGGTATACATTTAATAAATTAACTATAAAATTAATGAAAAAATTTAAATCATATCTAGTTATTTCAAGTTATTATTAGTTTTTGAAATTCTGTAACGGCTCATATTAATTTACGTGAATTATATGTGTTTTGATATTACGATAAAAAATAGTATTTAAATACTAATGTAAATAAATTGTATGTACCAAAAACATACGTTAAAGGCTTTTAAATTCGTTTGATTTTCATCATAAAAAAATATTATTAATTGTATACTTTTAATACTGTTTATAATCCTCTATAAATATTTCTATCTTTGACAATTAACTATAAAGATGAAACAAACTCACCCCAATTTTTTCCTATTTGCCTTTAATGATTAATTTATTCTAATTCAGATTTTTAAAATTCTTAAATATACTTATAACGAAAACATTTAAAAAATGTTTTTACAATTTTAGTATTGCCTACTTAAGGAGTTTTCTGCTATGATATTGAACTTCTGTTTTTCAATTAAGAACCTCCTTTTTTTCTTTACATAATTTAATGGATTTTTTTTTTGTTGATGTACCTAATACCTAAATTTTAAAAGTCGATAGAGTAGTTTCTCAGTTATTGATATATTTATACTAAGAATAATAGTCCTTAATAATGGTTTTATAATAAAATATAAAAATTATCGTATATTGAATAACTACTATATTTTTACAATTTTTAAAAATTATAAATATTTATAGATTAAATACAATTTAATAAAGTGTTCAAATCATAATTTTCCTTATAACTTTAAAATCTATTATTATAGACCTATTTTAAATAAATTATCCTTAAGACATAAAGTAATAAAATACCAAAACTACTTGTTCAAATTTGATTTCAATATGTCATGACTAAAAAAAAAATATCCATTAAATAATTTACAGTATAATAGGAGAATTTCCTTTGGAAAAACTTAAGCTTGTATATCCATAGGACACTCCTTCAGTAGTAAAAATATCTCTCAAGAATTTGAAACTATGATCTTTGTGTATAATTATTAATCCTAATCATCAGATTTTTAATAACTCTGTTATTGAAGGTGAGTATGCGCTTACTGAATCACTCTGTACAGTACACATTTACGTATTAAATATGTATTATATATTGTAATATTCTAAACAATATAATTTAAATAATTGAACGAATAATACTACACATTATAACCACTAACATTTTATATATTCGTATCACAGTATAATAATATTATGTTCAACAATCGCTATATCGAACTTAACCGTACTAAATTGTTTCCGTGGAATATGTATATGACAATGTTATTTAAATACTGCTCCACTATTTTCCTCGTGTGTACAATCGTACAACAACGGGACCGTAGCTGTATGAGGGATTAAATTGTAATAGTGGTGCATTTCGGGTTATCACTAAATGTGCTTTACAAAGCTTTTATTATGTGGATAATTTAATTCGAACATTAGTACTGCAGGGACAGCGATACGTGAAAATTACAATTTTAATTTCATCAGAGACGAATAATAATAATAATAATAATAATAGTAATAATATACACGCACTGGAAAACGCATTAAGTGTAACAATATTAGTTCGACCAATCCGGGATCGTCTGAGGTTCGTAGCTCTCGACAAATCGCTGAGTGTACACTGCGTGCACGATCCCCGGGATTACATATGTGTACATATAATCGTGACGACTTCCGGTGCGGTCGTTGTCACTTGGCGAATCGATCCGCCGACTTGTTTGGACGATTGTTTACACGACAATAATACACGCACACAGGTAAAATCGCTACAATACAACACTATGCGTTGTAGTGTTTCACTCAATTTAACCTCCGCCCCGGCGTGGTGTAAGTCATCCACCGTCTCCGCGGGGGACGTGCGAATGATTTGCACGCGAGGCGGTCCCGTCGAGGCGTTTGATGTACTCCCCTCCTCCCCCTGTTCTACGTATATATCGCACACTAGTAAACTATATATACTATATACATACATATATATATGTGACATGTGGAATCCCCGTTCTCCGGGTAACTATTTCGGTGTGATAACTATTTCGTCAATCCCGCGGACGAACAAATGATTCGGCGACCGAGACGGACGGATGACGAAGGGGTCGGAGAGGTTGGTCCTGAGACAGATGTATATATATACCTATGTTATATGTGTGTGCTGAGACATCGACGACGATGGACGGAGGGGAGGGGGACGCAGAAAGTCGGAAAGACGTCGCGG